CCTTCCTTTCTTCTTTCCATCTTCCCTCCCTCTTTTTCCTCCTTCCTTCCTTCCTTTCTTCTTTCTATCTTCTCCCACTTCTTTTTTCCTTCCTTCCTTTCCTTCTTTTCATTCTTCCTTCCATCCTCCCTCCCTCCATCCCTCCCTCCCTTTCTTCTTTCCATCTCCCCTCCCACTTCTTTTTTCCTTCCTTCCTTCCTTCCTTCCTTCCGTTCCTTCTTTTCATCCTTCTTTCCATCCTCCCTCCCTCCTTCCCTCCCTCCCTTTGTTCTTTCCATCTCCCCTCCCACTTCTTTTTTCCTTCCTTCCTTTCCTTCTTTTCATCCTTCCTTCTTTCCATCCTCCCTCCCTTTCTTCTTTCCATCTTCCCTCCCACTTCTTTTTTCCTTCCTTTCGTTCCTTCTTTTCATCCTTCCTTCTTTCCATCCTCCCTCCCTCCTTCCCACCCTCCTTTCCATTCTTCCTTCCTTCCTTTCTTCCTTCCATCCTCCCTTTTTTCCATCCTCCCTCCCTCCCTTCCTTCTTGAGCAAGGGGTTGGACTAGAAGACCTCCAAATCTCCTTCCTGCTCCATTCTGATAGATTCCTCCATGGGGTCCCGTTTCTGGTCCCAAACTCCACACGTGCATTACCTGATGAAATAGTTTGCCCAGGTTTTGTGATATCTGTCGCCCGGTTGGCCCTTGAGAGTACCGCGACCCGTCATGGCACCGTTGGTTTTCATCCAGACGGGGGACGTCCAGGGACTGGCGTAGAGCAATAGCGGCCTGGAAGCGACGGCTTGAGCTTGTTGTAAAATTGGGATCTAACGTTGAGACAGAACCTCGTTTTACCTGGGCACTAAACCGAAACGAACCCTGGACACAGCAACACAGCACTTAAGCAAAATGGTTCGGTTGAGATCAGCCTATAGCGGGACTGATTGGGGTGGATTGTAAGGGCGACGCCGAAATATAATCTCATCATGTGTTATTGATCTATATACTCGCTCGATACCTTGTGCTCCACTATGAAACTATGTCATCGGGCTTAGTTTTTGGGGAGGAAAATAAGGGGGTGGAAATGATTATT